GACAACTGGTATGAGAGAAACCTGGGATGTTTGACCCTGCCACCAAATCAAATTATCTGGAGTCATATTCCTGCTTTTTCAATAAGTGCCTAAGATAATGCCTATATTCACTGAAGTTTGAGAACAACTAACGTGAACTATAGGCTAAAATCTATCAAAGATGAACAAAGTGGTAGATTTTGCATTTCTTTTTACACAAAGAGCTTCTGTATTTAACTGAAAGTTAGTTTGATATGTAAACTTCCTGAAGAGGGAAGGGCTAATCACACACAGACACACACACTCCTATAAATTTATGATGTTATACTTGTGACCAAGGTCATTTTGTGAAATGTGTTTCTCCCAATTCTGGAGGCTGGAAAGTCCAGTATCAAGGTGCCTGGGCAACTGGTGAAGGCGTTTGTGCTGTACTGTCCCATGAAAATAGAAAAAAACTGTAAGAGAGCAAGAAATTGAACTGGAAGCCTCAAGAATCAATTCATTAGGTTGGAGTCCCCATGACATAAACACTTCTCATTAGGCCCCACCCCTCAAAATGGTTACATTTGGGATTAAGTTTCCAACACATGCTTTTTCAGGGAAACATTCAAATCATAGCAGCAGGTATACAGACTTGTACAGATATCCCTCTAGGTCATTTTCATTCAAATTGTTTTGTATATTCTGAATAAGTATGTGAACTGGGAAAATTTTAAAATGCTTTGCTCTCATTTGCATAACTGATAGAAATAAAATATTCTTGTTAATCATTGAGGCATATGTAGTATGTTTCAACTGACTGATTTTGTTCTAATGTGATCCCTGGGTTTTTTTTAATCCTCCTCCATAGAGTAGTCATGGTTGAAACAAAAGCATTATCAGAGATATTTACATTCCTTTAGTTATTAAGTTCAAAGGTAAATTACTTTTGTTATTTTCAAAGATTTTGTATGTTATTTTTTTACCCTATGGTATTTCTAAAAGCCATAACTAAATGTAAAAATCTCTAGAAGGTTTAAGAAGCCAAAAATATAGGAAGAATTCATAAGACCAATCGTATGGTAATAGAGGTAACTTTCTGACAATTGATGACTTTGCTTTTCCAAAGGGAGCTATTTCCAAATTCTTCTGATCTTTCCAGAAATAAACATTTTACAAATTCCCTGTGTCTTCCATTAAAAGTATCCCTGTAGCTTTATATAACTTCAGTATTCACCCTTTTTTTTATACATTTGACTTACGAAATATTTTTAAAAAGTCGTGTATTCACACGTAGTATTCCAGAAATTTTTTCAGCATCCTAAATTCCAAATAGATCAACTCACAAAATGCACATACTCCTGAGTATAATTTTACTCTTTAAAAATAAATTAATAAAAATCAGGGTGTTGAGGAAAACAAAATGTCACTGTGCAAAAACAAGGTATTTATGGTATTAAGTTATTCCCTTAAGGATTGTATCAGTCAGGATGGGCTCTGTTATACCAGGGTGAAAAATAACACCACATTTTAGAGACTAACAACAACCCAAATTTAGTTTGCTACTGTCATGTACACATCAAGTTATACTCAACTGAGGATTAGGCTTCCAGAGAAGCCACTATCTGGAACATTGCTCAGCCCCATGGCAGAGAGGAGGTGATGGCAACATGAATCATACAACAGACTTTAAAGTTTCCTCACAGAATAACACATATCACTGAACAGAGCTAGCTGCATGGTGTATTAATCTATTCACAAATTGCTGCATAAAGAACTACCGGAGACTGGCTAATTTGTGAAGAAAAGAGGTTTGGTTGGCTCATGGGCCTGCAGGCTGTCTGGGAACCATGTCTGAAAAGGGCTCAGGAAACTTACAATCATGACAGAAGCCAAAAGGGAAGCCAGCACATCTTGTGTGGCTGGAGCAGGAAGATGACAGAGTAAAAGGGAAGGTGCCACATGCTTTACAACAACGAGATCTCATGAGAACTCTACCACAAGAACAGCAAGGAGGAAGTCTGCCCCTAAGATTCAGTCACCTCCCACCGAGTACCCCTCTCCAACACTGGGAATTACAAACCAACAAATTTTGAGTGGGTCACGGAACCAAACCGTAACACATGGCCATACCAAACCCCAGTGTGCAGGGGAACACAATCACACAATATGCCCAAAAGAACCATAAATATTTGACAAACAGCACTAATGACTTGCTTACTGGGCGTTTTCAATATATTTATTTATATTTAAGAAAATATATTTATTTTCTTCTTTCTTTCTTAAACATCAGAACTATCTTCCATAGCTGGCCTTCTGAAATTTAAGACAAAGGCATTAGGCCTTGATGACCCTCAGTATCAGTAGCGGAGATTTGTAACCTTAAGTCCTCATCACTACCTGCCAACAACTGATGTATTAGTCAGGGTTCTCTAGAGAAATAGAACAAATAGGATATATGTAGATAGGCAAAAGGAAATTTATGCTAGAAATTGGCTGATGTGATCATGGAAGCCTAAAAGTCCCACAGTGTACATTCTGCAGGCTGACAAACCAAGAAGTCTGGTGGTATTATTCTGTGTGAGGCTGAAGACATGAGAGCCGGCAGGCCCACTTATGTAAGTCCCAGAACCTGAAGACCCAAGAATCAGGATCTCTGATGTTTCAGGGCTGAAAAAGATGGATTTTGCAGCTCAAGAAGACAGAAGGAAAAGTTGTCCTTCCTCTACCTTTCTATTCTACTTGGATCCTCAACGAATTAGACAGTGGATCTTCTTTACTAGATCTACTGATTTAAATGCAAATCTCTTCCCGAAAAACCCTCTCAGGCACACATGGAAATAATGTTTTACTAGCTATCTGGGTATCCTTTAGCTCACTCAAATTGACCCATGAAGTTCACCATCACAGCTGGTTTGGAGAGAAAAAGACTAGCTGTATGATAATTTTTTTTCAATAGCCATAGAAATCAATCTAATCAGAAAGGGAACCATCATGAAAGTCTTTAGTGTGACAAGGAAAGGAGAAAACTAAATTTCTGGAGCCAAAGTTAATGTTTCAACCTTATAATTTTCCCCATATTCTAAAGTCACTTGTCTTATAATTCTCGTATGACAAAAGTCTTTTTCTTTGTATAAAATACATTTGGAAGAGGGGGAGGTAGTTGGCTTTATGATGTTAACAATAGAAATTTTAACTGTTAAAAATGATATGAAAAAGTATGCCTAGCAGAATTTTTTGCACTACATTGGCAATTTTGTTGTTGTTGTTGTTGTTGTTGTTGTTGAGATGGAGTTTCACTCTGTTGCCCAGGCTGGAGGACAGCGGTGCGATCTCCACTTACTTCAACCTCTGCCTCCTGGGTTCAAGCCATTCTTCTGCCTCAGCCTCCCAAATAACTGGGATTACAGGCACCTGCCACTATGCCCAGTTACTTTTTTGTATTTTTAGTAGAGATGGAATTTCACCGTGTTGGCCAGGCTGGTCTTGAACTCCTGACCTCATGATTCACCTGCATCAGCCCTCCAAAGTGCTGGGATTACAGGAGTGAGCCACCACGCCCAGCCTAGATTAGCAAATTATAAAAGGGCCTTCTGTGCCAAATATATGTTGTTTCTCCTTCAGAGCCCTTCTTCATTGTTCTCTATTTTTCTATAGGCTCAAGAAGTCTGATGTATGTAGCTCCCGTGTCCTTTGGCTTCCTGAATTTGAAAGATGGAGGTGGCATCAAGAGATGAAAGAAAGGAGAAGAGATATATTGGTCAGGGTTTTCCAGAGAGATAGGAGTGGCATGTGTGTGTGTGTGTGTGTGTGTGTGTGTGTGTGTGTGTGTCTGTCCATCTGTCTGTCTGTGTGTGGCTGTGTATATAAGAAGGGATTTATTAGGGAAATTGTCATGTGATTTTGGAGGCTGACAAGTTCCACAACAGGTCATCTGCAAGCTGGAGATCCTGGGATGACAGTAGCATGTCTCTGGCCAGGTGTGACAGCCTCAGGACCAGGGAAGCCCATGGTATAATTCTCAGTCAGATGATGAAAACCCAAGACTGTGCTGAGTGGGGAGGCTGCTGTTTTAAGTTCTAGGGTCTAAAGGCTAAAGAGTCTAGAGTTACGATGTACAAAAGCAGAAGAAGAAGAGTGTCCCAGCTCAAGGGCAGAGAAAGAAAAGTGCCTTTTCTTCTGACTTTTTGTCTTATCTGGGCCCTCAGCCCAGGATAGTAACCACCCACATTGAGAGTGGACCTTTTCCACTCAGTCTACCAGCTCATAAGCAAGCCTCCTTTGATAACAATTCATAGGCACATCTGGATATTATGCTTGACTAGTTATCTTGGTATTCCTTTATCCAGTCAAGTCGATACCTATAAGTAGCCATCACATTGAGGTATTTGATCCCCAGTTCAATCTGCCAGGTCTTCACAGGGTGGCTGCTTTCCTTTATTGAAAGCTACAGCTCTTATCACGTGACCCTCTGCAAAGAGCTATGCTTTCAAGGCTCCAGGAGCCCTTCCTTACCCTTGCCTCATCAGGCCTTGATGGTAAGGAGTTCCTCCTCTCGCTACTGTGGAAGAAAACTGCTACTGTTTCATCTCTTATTCATTTCTCTGTACCCTGCCACATTTTTATAAATACTCTTCCTTATTATCTCCCGAACAGACTGTCCTGTCTGTTTCCTGCGAGAATCCTGACAGTCACCGTCTCCAGGTGTTAAGACATATGTCAATGTTGGGTGCCAATAGTTAGAACTATTAGGTTGCAAAGGTCTTGGCAGAAAGTAATCTTCCATTATGATTTTATGTTCTTAGGATCTCAGAACCATTTTTATTATATGAAGAGTACATTTAAATCCTAATGTTACCAAGTGAAAAACAAAACAAAACAAATATTTGAAGTCTTTCCAATTACAGGTTGTTGCTATGGATAATGTGGCCAAAGGATTCTGATAAACTGTAGAGTGGACTCTTTATTGTGTTAAGAACAGAAAGAGAGACTGTTAATAAAACTCTCAAGCTGATAATCTTGGTAACTGCTTTCTATTGCAGATCACTGCTGGCAGACACAGATAGAAACACTGAGAATGAAATAAGTGGCAAGAACGTTAAACCAGCCTGTCAATCAATCAGTGAGTATTTACTGTTCTAAAATCTCACGTCCCCAGTCCACTCTTTCTATTGATTTATCCAACAATTTTCCAAGTTTTGTTCATTCTATTATCTTTTGTATTGATTTGTATTACTCTCTATTGACCCCATTGCTCATAATAGCTGCAATCTCACATAGTCCTTTGTCATATCATTTTCCTTCTTAGTCTGATACTCCATTCTCCAAGGAGAGAGCTATTTCATACACAAAAGCAGGAAAGGATATTCTCATTACAATCCTAGACATCAGGACTGAAGATCATGGGACAAATGTGTAAGCCTGCATCCCAGTAACCAGTCTACATTGTTTTTTCTCCCATTGTCATTTTAACATTGTCATTCTATATTAAATTCATAGTCCTTCACAGTAATCTTAAAGTCAGAATGACAATTGGGCATCTGACTTCACAGTCCAAAGGTCATTAGAACATTTGTGAGCAATTCCTATTTTTCTATTATTTAGCATGCTTTTGTCCTAGAAATATGAAGCATCACAATTTTTGCTAATTTAGAAGTTTTCTGAGCCACAAAGCACAATAACCCTTCTTTTTATACATAGTGATATCTCTATACAAAATTTGATGCGATTCTTAGATCACAGAGTTCTAAAGGTACTAGAGTGATAAATTATGGAATATGGTTAAAATGGGTTACAATAAACAAGACTTGAATTACTTTACAGTAAAATCGAACAGGTTTTCATTTAATGTATAGCCTTTAGTGTGTGTAGTCTTTTAAATTTGGTTTATAGTAATTATTTCCTCTGGTGAGTTTGTTTTAATATTTATATATTGAGTACTCACTTTCTGTTCTTTACTATAAAAAATTACCAGTGATAAACTTTTTTTTCCAAAAGTTAACTCTGATAAAGGGTGAAAAGTGGGTTTTATGGCAGGGAATATTTTTGAAGTAAAATGAAAGTGTAAGGAAGAAAAATGTAGAGGTTACAGTGGATGAAGAGTGAGCCTCTAATACTCTAAGCTAACAATAGAATGGTAAAATATGGTCTTCACAGCTTATGTCAATGTTTTATTTGTTCCGCCTTTTTCTTTTGTACAAATGTTCCATGAAAATAGTCAATAAACCTTTAAAAAAAACAATAGAGAAAAGAAGATACCCAAGCTATGACTCAGACTAGAGAATAAAATAAAAGTAGGTCCACATTATGGATTAGGAAAGAAACAAAAAAGAAATATTCATATCTGATTGTTCTGGTCTTCTCATTTGAAGTAAATGTAACAATTTTGGCCTTGAGCATAAGAGAATAAAGTATTTATGGAGAATATTGAAACAGAAGACCTCTGGCTTGATAGAAGCCAAATACAGGAAGGATAAAAATGTCATTTCTCAAAACCCATTTCCAGTCTTTTTTTTTTTTTTTTTTTTTTTTGGATACTCAAGAACTTTATTCTGGCAGTGCTCTTACAAGACAGGTATTTATAGTGAGAGCAGGCTATAGCGCGAGTCAGACACAATCAGGGGTCGGATGATTGACTAACCAGGAGGGTCTCTGTCCTCTATCTGAATAAGGTGCTTAGTATTTTGTTGACTCTTCTCTCTTTTTTTATCCTGTCTTTTCTTAATTTCTTTTTTTATTTTAATAGTTTTTAGGGTACAGGTTGTTTCTGGTTACGTGAATAAGTTCTTTACTGGTGATTTCTGATATTTTAGTGCACGCATTACCCAAGCAGTATACTTGGTACCCAATATGTAGTCTTTTATCCCTCACAACCCTCTCTTCCCACATCCCAGAGTCCCCAAGAGTCCATTATATTGTTCTTATGCCTTTGCAGTCCTCATATCTTAGCTTCCACTTATAAGTGAGAACTTACGATGTTTGGTTTTTCAATCCTGAATTACTTAACTTAGAATAATGGCCTCCAGCTCCATCCAAGTTGCTACAAAAGACATTATTTTGTTTCTTTTTTTATGGATGGGTAGTATTCCATGGTGTATATATACAACATTTTCTTTATTCTCTCATTGGTTGATCGGCACTTGGGTTGGTTCCATGTCTTTGCAGTTGCAAACTGTGCTGCTATAAACATGTGTGTGCCTGTGTCTTTTTCATATAATGACTTATTTTCCTTTGGGTGGCTACCCGGTAGTGGGATTACTGGATGGAATGATAATTCCACTTCAGTTCTGTCAAAAATCTCCATACTGTTTTCCATAGTGGTTGTACTAATTTACATTCCCACCAGTGGTGTAAAAGTGTTCCCTTTTCACCACATCCACACCAACATCTAATGATTTTGACTTTTTAATTATGAACATTCTTGCAGGAGTACAGTGATACCTCATTGTGGCCATATCGAGTTTTTAATGAAGATTTATTTAGTTGCATTCAGAAATATGTCTTAAATCTGTTCCTTCCTTTCCATCAGCACTATCCTAGGCTTTGAGGTTCATCTCTTCTTTCTGGTTTGCAAGTCCCTAAGTAGATAAGGTATTTCTTATTTATCTGCTTTTCTGGCTGATATGTAGAATCTTTGCAAATTATATGTGTGGAATAAATAAGAAATGGAAGAGTTTTAGAGAGTAGTCTATATACCCATGGCAAGATCTTCCCTTTATTTAGGGGTGAAGGATCACAGCTGGGAGAGTAGAAAAGGGATGACAGGCTTGGTTTTTATAATTTAGGAAGCCTGTTTGCAAGATAATATCTCACATACTTTTCCAACTCAGAATTATATGCAATGATGCCTTCCCACGAAACCATCACATTACCTCTTCCATGTCTTTATCACCCACTGATTTTTTCAAAGAGATGATAGCCATTTTCGATGCTAAAAACTAGCAATTAATTACTATGATTAGTCTTTCTGAAACTATACTTTTTCAGAAAATCCAAGACTGAGTTTTTTTAATGCATATTCTTATTGGCTTACTACTGTCATTTCCTCCTCGTTTCTACTCTCTCCAGAAATTAAAACAAGATTTCTTAACAACATTCATTTTCTACTAGTGGAATTGTGATTAATCTTCAATATATATGGCTGATAATAAATTGAACATGTAGTCAAGCTGAAGTTTTATATGCAATGTTTTATTATGGAAATTAATAGACATTGAATACAAACAGAATCCTGTATTTTAAAAGTGCAGTTAATACAAAGTATATCTCATAACTTTTTTTATTCTAAATTTATGATAAGCATGACCATAAATGCAAAGAAAATAGAGACAGAATTCAGATCTGAAAGCATTCACACTATATATTACTCCTGAAGCTGCAATCAAATTAACCCATGTGAATAGATTTATTTTTAATACATTTAATTTGCCACAAAAATCATTCACAGTTAATAGAAACTGGAAACTATTATAGTTGTTGCTCTGAGCAATAACAGGGAAAGTTTTGCCTTTTGATTTCTTCTATCATCAGTTCCTTTCTTTTTTTTGAAATTGCAGTTGAAATGTTTCTATTTTATATCTATATTAGTAAACATCTTATTATTTTAGAAATTAAATTAATATTAATTAGGAAAAATACTTCATTGAAATTCAGTACAACTTCAGCTCACATATTGTCTTTTAGTGTCAAAATGAGCTTTTAATAAAATTTAGTGTCTGTTTTCCACAAGTTTAACCCATAACTAAACTGTCCCCCCCGTAGTCATTATTTATTTTTTAAAAGATGAGAAACTAGTGTATGCCTTCTTCCTTAATAGTAAAGGTCTAAATAATACCTCATCTGTGTGGTCTTCTGACACTTCCAGGCACAGCTAATCACTCTTTTCCTATGACCCTATAGTACCTTTATAGAATATAGTAAGGTACATTTATTCATATTACATTATGGTAATTTGATTAAATGCTCATCTGTATGTACATACAGTGAATTATTGGGCAAGGACCATATTTCAATCATATGTGCTTTCCCATCACCTACATATTTAGGGAAAGAGAGAGGGAGTAAGTGAAAACAGAGAACTAGATTTCAAAGGGGAAAAAAGTTCTATTAAGTATAAATACTTTTTCATTGTGCTTTTGAGGAGAAATCAGCCTAAATTGGAATTCATTTTGGATAAAACATTTAAAATAGCCCATTTAAGATAATTGAACTTCTGTTTATTACATAAAACTGCATCCATAAATGTCAGTGTTTCAGCCACAGGGCTTGCTGAAAGAGTCACAAAATATACTGCAAGGAGCTGCTATGAACTGGGAGAATGACCATAATTGATCTTTCTATTTCTAACTTCAGTGATTCTTTTCAGAGTTGTATATGAGTTGTTAAATTATAAATTCTGTTTCTGTCAATGCTATAATCAAGGGCCATGGTGCTAGAAATTCTATATAACTTCAATCTTGACTAAAATATTAAAATTCTGTTTATTTCTTCCAAACAATTGTTTCATAGATCAGTCATTTCCAATTACTTAACGGATTTAATTTGTGATTTAGCTTGGATTGCTCTTTCTCTCTTTCTCCTGTCTTCTCTTCTTCCTCTCTTTACTATTTACTGTGCCAGACACTAGGCAAATGATAGGAAAACAGAGAAACTGAATGAGGTTTGGTTTCAGCTCCCAAATCCCTTCAAGTCTGATTAGGAAGATACTGTATGTGGTTGACAGTCTTTAGCATTACCTTCTCTACCCCCACAATGATTCCTGACTCCTAGTATTTATGTTTTCTATCATCACTTCCCCTTAAATATGGCCAGACTTATTGGTTTGCTTTCAATGAATAAAATGTGTCATATATGATCAGATGCTGCTTTTGAGATTAGGTTATTAAGAAAGACTGTGGCTTCTGCCTTGAGTCCTCTCTCTCTCTCATCACTCATGCTGGAGTAAGCAAGTTACCATGTTCTAAGAAACTCAGTGGAGAGGTCCACTGGCATGCAAGGAACCGAGGCCCTCAGTTTAATCACTTACAAGGAACTGAGGCTTCACAGCAACCACAAGTTAGCTTGTGAACAGATTCTTTAGTCTCCATTAAGTGCTGAAATCACTGCAGCCCCAGTCAACACCTT